GATGTCAAGAAAATAAAATACAAGGGGTTGCTAAGCACAACTTGATGAAACAATGCTTGATCAAGCCTCTCCTCCTGTGATAGTTCTTTCATCCCATTAGCGCATCTGGGAAACACATGTTGACATTCTTCATTGTGATGCTGGGGTTGGAAAGTCAAATGTGAGGTTCAGCTGTGGGAGCTGGTGTACTAAGGACAAGAGAGATTTCACACAGACACAGAATGCTTCTCAGAGGATAGGAGGTGAGCTCAGGGACTATTTGGCCACTGGGTGGAGAGGAAGTGAGCTACACAGCTTCCTGCCCACCAGTAGTGACCCATCAGCTCGACAAAAACTCACTTGGTCTGGTTTCCCACGGCATACCTTATCAGATCCTTAGTGCTTTGGCAGCTGGAATACATCTGCACTCAGCTTGCTATGGATATGAATTCTTGCCTTTATCACTGTTTCACCAAAAGTGGGAATGACATAAGTATTCAAGGTAACTTTTAAGTATACATACTGACTCTCCTGATTAATCTCTTCTCCTCCTTCTGAATAAACTGGGAAGACAGTTGCAGTTTGGTGCTACAATGAAAGGCCCATAGTGGATGGCCTGGCTTTCTAACTTAGACAATGAACCAAAGTCTTGCTTGGCTACAGACAAGCCACTAGGTGCAGCTGGTGTTGGATCCCTTCTGCTTTTCTTTGATTTTAGGATTCACTTGTACTGGCTTATTGAAACTACACATACAATTTAGGATAAATGACTTAAGTACATACTACGTAATGCCAGGTACTGGTGGTTCATACCTGTAATCCTAGCTATTCAGGAGGCTGAGATCTGAGGATCATGGTTCAAAGACAGCCCGGGCAGGAAAGTCCTTGAGACTCTTACCTACAATTAACCACCAGAAAACTGGAAGTGTTACTGTGGCTCAAGTGGTAGAATGCTTGCCTTGAGCTGAAGAGCTCAGGGACAGTGCCCAGGCCCAGAGTTCAAGTCCATGACTGACAAAACAACAACAACAACAATAACAAAAAACCTAAGTAATGCCCTATGTGGTACTTAAGAATGAAAATTATGGGAGGAAAGAGGGCTTGAAATCTGCATGGAGTGAAGAAACTTGTACATGGAACTCAGTGATGAAATTGGAGCCATTTTGGCCTCAGTGTGACAAAAAGAGTGAGGGAGTCCAGTATAGGAGAAGGGTACTAGGTCCTCACAGAAAAACCAGAGATGCTAGTATCTAAGGGCAAAGAGCCTGAAAAGAATACATGGAGATGCCAGACCAGCTGGAGCTGGGAGAATGAACTGGCTGGAGGCTAAGCTCTTTTAGAAAAGTCAGTAGTACAAATACATGGCTTTGGGATGGCACTGTCTGGGTTCCAATGGAAGCATCATCACCAGTCAACTTTTGACCTGGAAATAATAACATGGACCAGCTTTTATTGTCTGGCTACCTGCCACTGACATTCATAATAAAATCCACTCTTCTGTATTCTCACTAGGCTAGAAGCATCCCTCCCAAGACTGAGTCCCATTTTGTCTCTGCTATATCTCCTGATGATTGTAAAATCTTACAGGGACACTACCCTGGAATGGCATGCTTGCTGCTGAGATGATAATCTGGGAAGTTGGGAGACATTGAATTCATGCGCATTTAACATCACCTGTGGACCTATGGGAGATCTACATATGTACACATAGGCCCAACATCTCTATTTGTTAACACATTTCAGAGTTTCGTGACCTTCTTACCACTGTAGACATAGATCTGCTCACCCCTATACACAGTTCAATGTGTCCATGTATTTAAATGGAGTGACAAATCCATGTAGATGAACCATTTCCTACAAAGCTGAGTGTCTGCGTCCCCCTTTGTCTCCACAGGGAACTATATGGAATTCCACATCATGATGATATTCTGGGTAAAATGTAAGAATCCTACATTCCAAGTCCCTGGACTCTGACTTATCAGGTATATGTTTGCATTATCCCTCTAGCTAGCCCACTTCCACTACTGGCTGTTCGGGCAGTGATGTCTCTGTCTACTAGTAAAATGCCTTCAGGAAAGACACAGACATGACCCCACAGCCATGCTACCTATGACTCATCTGCCTTCTTAGGAGGTATGTTTTTCTGGCAAGACTTGCAAGGTGAGGGGTTTACCGGAGAAATAGAAGATGGCAGGGCTTAAGGCAAGAAAGAAGCAACAATGAACAAAGGCAGAATCTTGGGTTGGAAATTTACAGCTAAAAGCATCTAGAAAATGCATTCTAACCCAGATCCTTACAATTCAGCAAGCCCCAGGAAAAGCCTATAACTTTTTTTCCTTCTACCTGAGAATACCTAGTGCCTAGGAAAGTTAAAAGCCACTGCACCCTACAAAGTCACCTCTGAAGATCTGGGATCCCCAGTGGAACAGGGCACTCTAAAAGGCCACACTGGCTTTCAGAAGACTGGAATAGAAACAGGCTTGCAGCCCTGTCCATAGGATGATGTTCATTTGCTCGATCCTTTCTACACAAACAGAGGTGGTGAACAGTGGAAAAGGTTACACTGCTGCTATGCCACACAATATCCCTTCAGGCAAGTGAGAACAAAGAGGACACACAGGTGACAAAGAAAGAAATGAGCCTCTAAATGCAAGTGCCTGACCCACAATCCTCGGGAACCATGTGTAGCTAGAGGTAGGCATTCTAGGTCTTAAAGTAATTACTTTAAAAGGACAATGGAGAGAGAAAAGCATTTTTTTTGCCAATCCTGGGACTTGAACTCAGGGCCTGGGCACTGTCCTTGAGCTTCTACTCAAAGCGGCTGCCCTACCACTTGAGCAACAGTGCCATTTCTAGCCTTTTCTGAGTAGTTTATTGGAGACGAGAGCCTCACAGACTTTTCTGCCCAGGCTGGCTTTGAACTGCCATCCTCAGATGCCACCCTCCTTAGTAGCTACAATGACAAGCATGAGCCATGGGTGCCTGGCATTGAACACATATTTTAAACCACTCAGTACAGATTTCCAGTGTAAACTGAAAACAGAACCAAGTACTTCCCCCTTCACTTGGCAAGAGCTCCCTTCCAAGAACACCAGTGACTTCAGGCAACTGCAAATAGTAGAGAACCCTGTGCATTCTATGAGCTTATGTTATTTTCCACAATGTCTACTGATAAGTAAGGGACAGAAAGGAATGTATCATGTAAAACAGAATGATAATTTCAATATAATGCAATACTTGCTGTCACATGATCAGGTGTCCTCTCAAAATGCCCTGTTGCACTGTACCTACCTTTCTTCTCATGATCATGCAAGGGGAAACTTCAAGGCAGAACTCTGTAACACCCCTCTGACAGGATGGAATGGCCAACATCACTACTCTTGGCCACTGGGGTCATGTTGAACTACAGTGATCTGGACATGACACTACTACTCCATCTCATAACCAAGACAGGGACCAAGAGATACTTTATGTTCTGGAGGGAGATGGGCCTGCCATTTTCACCTTAGGGATTATTTCTGAAAGTTTCCACTGAATATTTTCAGACTACAGCTGAGGGAATGTAATGGCGCAAGAAATATGTTTTCTACCTAAAAACCAGGGCCACTCCAGCGATGATCCAGGTTTAGAGGATTCGCTTGCTACCAATATTTGTTCACTACTTTTATTTTATATTTGTTTCTGATCTGTTTCAGCAACTTATACATACATTTAAAGATTTTCAATATGAATAACTATTTCTACTTTAGCAATATCATAAAATACTGCATCTATACATATGCCATATGAAAAATGATTTCTAACTTAGCATTGTTATAAATAAAATACATGCATATATATACTACATATGAAGAACACATCTATTTAGAGTCATCATAAGTTCCTAAAGAAGTATATTAAAATACATGGAAATCCACTTTATTTTGGATTTCACATAAGGTACACTCAAGTTTTCAGTCCAAGTATGTTCCAATATTAGAAGGCGATCCTCGTTAGGAACACTACTACACTGGATAAATATTCAGTTTATAGATCCATTTTGAAAAGAAGATTGACTGTAGCTGTCTTCCTCCGGTAGCCTTAAACCTACAGTGAAACATCATGAATGCAAAGACCATTTCCAGTAGCCTGAGCTTTAAAGCAGCCAGAGTAAAACAGAACCACAAACTGTAGAGGAAAAGTGACATACAAAAATGCTAGGGCAAAAAGGACTGTAGAGCCTGCCACAGGATCAAAGAGACTGGACAGGACCCCAATGGCAGTACACAGCCTCAGAGGGTTTTGACCTTGAAAACAATGTTTTGCATTAGTAACCGTTGACTTCATGGCTATCGGAGCTGCCCTGCAGGAGAGAGGCAAGGTAGGGCTGAGGGAACAGGTGGAGAAGGAAGTACAGAAGCCAGAATGACAGTAGGTGTGAGTGCAGAGAGAGAGAGAGATGAGTACCAGGCTTTGGTCCACTCCAACTCATGTGTCCTTCGCAGCCACTCAGTTAAGATGTGTCCACGGATGATTGGTGTGTTCCACACGTTCCTCCATTCTTAAGCACCTGGTCAACCATTAGGACACTGGCCCAGATGCAGGAAAAGAACCAGGAAGCATAGCAAGATAGATAGGAAAGCATGACTTCTTGGCAAAGCCGAATTGTACCTCAAATGGAGTGCGAATGGTTGGAGCTTGGAGGCTTACCCCTTATAGGGGGATTACTTACTGTCATGAAAACAAGGCCTTTGAACACTACACAAAGGTCTATACCACTGATCCTTTTTTGTCTTTTCCAGTTTAACCTGAATATGGGGAGAGGGCTGCAGAAGGATACAAGGCCATCACTTGGCCCAGGGAGTGGGCCATCATGGGTTTTACAATGGCATCTCAGAGCCTAGACATTTCCTAATTCCTGTTCCAGCCTATTCCACAATAACGGTGATGCTACTTTTCTGTCTCCCCATTGCCTAAGGGAGCCCCTTTCCTCAGTCTCTTTGGTAGATCTGGGGGAGGTAGAAATACAAATCCTTACCCACCTCACTGGAAGTACACCCGCAGGGCTGCAGCTTCCGCTGCCATCTCCTCCTCTGATCTCCAAGAGGCGGGGGAATCCTCATCCTCTTTGTCGTGTTTCTGGAGCTGTGGAGAAAAACATGTAATAGGCTTACCAAGAAGTCCTGGAAATACCCTGGAGCAAATGCTGGGGAAGGGAAAAACCTGAATTACAATTTGCAGATGACAGGCTAACAGGTGTGTGTGTGTGTGTGTGTGTGGTGTGTGTGTGTGTGTGTGTGTGTGTGTGTGTGTGTGTGTGTGTGTGTGTGTGTGTGTGTGAAGGGGAGGAGTGGTCTCAATTACATGACTTCCCCGTATTTTAACGCAGTTCCTCCTAAGAATTATCATTTCCACTTTCTCGAATAAAATAACCACATTAGGCTACATGTAGCCTTTTTCCAAGGTGGAATAGGGGCTGTTACTGGATAAGTGTTATGCCATGCACCAGAATTCCCACACTGTCCTCCTGCTTAGCAGGCATCTTCGTTTTGTTTGCTTCCTGGGTCTGCATAGGTATGAATGTGCCAAAGTAACCCAAGCAAATTCATCACCCAATACAGGTATTTCCCTTCATAGAAGCTGTTCCTAGGCAATCAGTAAATGATATTAAAATAAGAACACTACTTTAAAAATTAACAAGTGGCCCTAGTTACTTGAATGCCTCCTTAGACCCCATCTGTATGTATTTAAAACTCCTGTTTATGCTGGGTACTGGTGGCTCACACCTGTAATTCTAGCTACTGAGGGGGCAGAGCCCATCTAAAAAGGAAAGTCCATGAGACTCTTTTTTTTTCTTTTTTTATTATTAATAAGTTTTTTTGGTGAAAATACCATACAGAGGGGTTACAATTACATGAGCAAGGTAATGAGTACATTTCTTATCAAGCATTGTTGCCTCCTCCATTTCCCCTTACCACCATCCCTGCCCTCCCATTTCCCTCTTCTCCCTGCCCCTCACCTCCACCCCCACACTGCCCCCACCCTCTCCCTCACCCTCCCACCCCCCCTGCCAAAGTTGTAAAGTTCGTTTTTCTACATAACATCTTGTACATTTCATTGTTGCAATGGGTCCATCTGTATCCCTATTTAAACAATTTGTTTTTCCCTTCCCCTCAACAAATTATACTAACATCAAATACAGTGAAAACAGGGGTTATCTACAAGTAAACACCAGAAAAGTGCAAATGACACTATAATCTCAAGTGGCAGAGCACTAGCCTTGAGCAAAAAGAGCTCAGGGACAGCACCCAGGCCCTGAGTTCAAGCCCCACAACCACTACTACCATCAACAAAATACTTCCTTATGATTCACATTTATTTATTTATTTATTTTGGGTCCGGTCGTGGGGCCTGAACTCTGGGCCTGGGCACTGTCCCTCAGCTCTTCAGCTCAAGGCTAGCGCTCTACCACTTGAGCCACAGCGCCACTTCTGGCTTTTTTCTTTTTGCTTATGAAGTGCTGAGGAATCGAACCCAGAGCCTCAGGCATGCAAGGCAAGGGCTCTACCACTGAGCCACCTTCCCAGCCCCATGATTCACATTTAAATATAGAATGGAGAAAATTTCTGTTCTTTCGCAGACACTATCATTTCCGAGCTCTCTCTCTCTCTTTAAGAAAAACTCTGTTTTCCCTTTACTACCAATCTCCTATTGCAATTCAGTGTCATGATGAAGACTGGTCTGTGTGGCTCTACATGTGGTACTGCTGTGCTCAGTGCATGCAAAATGCAGTATTTGTGTTAAGTCTACGGAGATAAATGACCTAGGTCTACCAATGGTGGCTCGCTTTTAGGATGTGAGGGTCAGTTTCTCTCAGAAGACCAATACCATCAAATTTCCTTTGCCAAGGAAGAAGTTCATTCTCCTGTGAAAGATCACTCAACGAGGTAATGTCAGGGTTAGCGTTGTACCCCGCAGCTTTTGCCTTATCTATTCAGAAGGTTCTACCTACTTTCTTTATATAGATCCACATGATAAAACCAACATAACGTAATATAGTTCTACTACTACTGTCTCAATTTGCCACATCCATTCATCCAGAAGTTGTATCCTTTGAAAATAACCCTTCCCAGTCAGTAAAGGTATATTGTGCTCACAAAGTGCTTTGTTCAATGGCAACTGCTTTGTATAACTACTTAAAATAATAATAATAATAATACTATCACAGTTTGTTATCTCACCCCCCCCAATTCTACATGTAACCCAGAGACCCCCACCCTGGAAACTTGCAAAAAGGGGGACATTTCCTCATTGATTTCCAACCAAACTTTAACACAGAGGTAAAGCAGTGAGGGCAAGAGAGCCTCACTCTCTGGCTGAGCTATTTTTCCACTCCAAGTAAGTCAGAGTCTAAATGAGATTCATTAGCATATAACTGGGCCACAAATATGTTTATGAGGGTCATGGATCTTCCTCTCAGAATCTGGCTGCCAGCACCCTGGTTTTACATTTTGCCACACAGATTTAATTCTCCTTAGTGGAAGAAAACCACATTAAGAAGTCATTTCCTTGCTCGCAGAGGCAGACGTGACGCCATGGCTACAGGCAAGTCAATTGGGATTGCTATTCTACTCAAGAACTAATTTTCATTTTGCTACTACCTTTAGGCCTCCTATAAATCCATCTTGTAACAATTCAAGGAGATGACAAGGAACAAGGCAAAGTCCAGGAAATATGATCTTTGCCACTAGAGGAACGGCTCTGGGAAGGCACAGACATTGAGCGTTAGGGGGGCCTTGTCGACACAGAGACCACCAGACAAATCCATATAACATACAGCCTGGGACCGTGAGTGCCTTCCTGTTATTAGATGACCATCTGTGGTGGTCATATGCCTTACAGATGGCCACATTGGGCAATCACTTACAAGTTGCGTGTGGGAACTAGCAAAGAAATATAACACACTCATCATATTTGCAAAGCTCTGTTTATGCATGAATTCTTAAAACTTGGGAGTTTTTCCTTTTTCTAAAAGGTGCAGATGAAAGCTTGTAGCTTTGGGGATTTTTAAAGAAAATTGTGTTAGGGGCTTTCCAAAGTACACGCACTACTAGTCAAAAACATTACTGTAAGTGGGTGTAGGGGATGATTGTCACTGGATCCATGAGGGATGGATTCCAGTACCTCCCCTTAGAATACCCAGATCCACAAAAGCTCAAGTCCCTTCCATAGGATAAATAACATGAAATACATAGACTACATTAACCTACATCACTTATGACACCTCATATTTTAATGCAATTAAAATAGTCATTCTATACCATAAAGATAGTTTCATATCAATGCCCATTGTGGCCCTATTCACAATAACCAAGTTATGGAAACAGCCTAGATGCCCTACAATAGATGAGAGGATTAAAAAATGGGATTTTACTTATCTGTTAGAAAGAATAATATGTCATTGGCAGAGAAATGGATGGACCAAGAACAAATCATATTAAGTGAGGGCTCAGAGAGACAAACAGCACATGTTTTTTCTCATGGGTGGAAGCAGATCTAAAATACATGGGGACATGCTGAAAACATTACAGGATGGAATAGGAGAAACCCTAGGTCTCCTTGGCCGAAATTTTCTTAATAGAGACCCAGAAACCCAACAAATCAAAGAAAGGTTGGACAAATGGGGTTGCATGAAACAGTAGAGCTTCTGCATGGCAAAGGACATAGCTAGCAAGATCAAGAGAAAGCCCACAGATTGGGAGAAGATCTTCACTAGCCATACAACAGACAAGGGTCTCATATCTAAAATATACTTGGAACTCAAAAAATTAAATCCCCCAACAACAAATCCTCAAAGAAACAACTGCCCGATAAATAAGTTGGCTAAAGACTTACAGAGAAACTTCTCTGAAGAGGAAATAAGAATGGCCAATAGACACAAGAAGAAATGCTCAACCTCTCTAGCCATAAAAGAAATGCAAATCAAAACAACATCGAGATTCCACCTCACCCCAGTTAAAATGGCTATTATCAAGAACTCTAATAACAAGATGCTGGAGGGGATGTGAACAGGAGGGAACCCTACTGCATTGTTGATGGGAGTGTAAACTTGTTCATCTACTTTGGAAAGCAGTATGGAGGTTCCTCAAAAGACTCCACATAGAGATCCCTTATGACCCAGAAATCCCACTTTTGGGCATTTACCCGAATGATCACAGACAAGACCATATTAAAGCTACCAGAACAGCTATGTTTATCACAGCATTATTCACCATAGCTAAGATATGGAATCAACCCAGATGCCCCTCAGTAGATGCATGGATCAAGAAAATGTGGTATATATACACAATGGAATTCTATGCCTCCATCAGAAAGAATGATATCTCCCCATTTGTTAGGAAATGGAAAGACTTGGAAAAAATTATATTAAGTGAAGTAAGCCAGGCCCAAAGAAACATAGGTTCCATGGTTTCCTTTATTTGCAATAAATAGTATATGTCTGAGACAAGCAGAAAAGTTCAGATAAATGATGTTAAATGAAATGAACCCCAAGAAGGGACACAAGTGGTTTCTTCTTTCTTGTTCTTGTTTCTAACATATTTATAAGGGACCATGTGATTTTTTTTGTTGCTTTGTATGTTCCTCCCCCACGGTATAACCCCTGCTTTTACTGTATTTGATGTCGGTATAATTTGGGGAAGGGAAGGGAAAAAACAAATTGTTTAAATAAGGATACAGGTGGACCCATTGCAACAATGATATGTACAAGATGCTATGTTGAAAACAGAACTTTACAATTTAGACTGGAGTGGGGAGGGTGGGGAGTGTAGTTGAGGAGGTGGGAGGGAAGGGATGGTAGGGGACAAACAAAGGAGGAGGCAACAGTGCTTGATAAAAAATGTACTCATTACCTTGCTCCTGTAACTGTAACCCCTCTGTAAGTATTTTCACAATAAAAAACTTATTAAAAAATACACGAGGACATGATAAATTATAGAGGACTCTAGACATTCACACACAATGAAACCAGAGGGATACTCTTAGAGGAGGAACACAAAGGCACAATAGCTCTGTGCTTCTGATCATATGAAATAATATTTATCAAAATGAACTCCAGGAAATGGAAATAAGAGGTTGGATTTTTT